TTCACATAGCTTGCATATCATTTATTGTGCTGATCCCAGACGAGCCTCCTAGAGATTGCTGGGATAGGCCTGTATTGTTGTCCTTAATAGAAACCTGTGAGGCAAGGGCTGTGGCTGCACCATCATCTATCTACACTGCTGGTGACAGTGAAGTGTGGCCTTATCGGAAGGAGAATTCATAAGAAGCTGCCCTGGGACACCACACCACTGTCCTTCTGTGTGTCCTGACAATGTTATCTGTCCTTTCAGTGCTGAGTATCAAGTGTCTGTCATGAGTATAGAAATTAATTTAATGTCACCTGAAGACATGCAATTAATCTTTTAGAGGTTTTCATAATACCTTTACAGAAAGAGTTGCCAGTTTGGCGGATTTGGATTTTGGGGTTTAGAAGAAGATAAGGAAAATTAATTTTTCATCAGGGTTAATACAAGCTAGCAGGGCCACAAAGGCTGAGGAAAATGATTGGGGAATTTGTCAAGTGTTGTCACTCCAGAATAATGCTGCTTAACGCCTGATAGGTATAATCAAGGGCTAAGGTTCTATGGAGAGGGATTAATCAATTTGCCTGCTAGTGAATGCAACTCAGCGATACCACTTCTTCATGGGCTTTAAAGAATGAAAATAAGATTTGATCTGTCAAATTGCAAGAAGCCTGACAGTATCAATAGGCATTTTTATCTGTACATTTAAACCGTTTGTTATAAATAAATTTGTCCTGCTAATGTTGATGGCCACAAACCTCATTTTTTGTAAGATTAAGTTGATAAAAAGTCTTCCCTGCGCTTACTTAATTCAAATAGGCATTTTAAAACCAAATACTAAACCAAATGTCTACAGAGACATTCTTATTGTATTCATTAAAAGGCAGTCATTTTAGAGCAGTTCAGTATTCAGAGGGTAAAAAGGGTACAACTTTTTCCCCTTCATCTACTTTGGGTAAACTGCTATGCCAGAAGTTACAGTATGCCACACTGCCTCAGAGACTGCCTTTCCCGCAGACTTGCTTTCATATGGGAACCTAATCTGCCATCCATCAGAAACACTGCTTTGCTTACATCTGAGCAACAGATTTCTAAGATGCCTAATTTGAAGTAACAGTATTTTAAAATTTGCAAGACTTAGAGATTAATAATTACGGTACACTTTCAGTGCTAGAACTGGGTGTACAAGTCACAGCAAGCCTACCAGCATGGGGTAGGTTTAGTTTGTCTTGACTCTCATTCAGGTTTGTGTATGTGCATTATGGATATAAAAATGTGTTTCTGGCAATGGCCTGTTAGCCTGTCTATTGACCATTTTTTTAATGTTAATCCAGAGGGCCAAAAACTTGCCCTAAAATGAGCTTTCCATTGTGCAGAAGTGAAATATAATATTTGTTCTCTCAATTGCGAAAAAAAAAAAGTTTCAGTTTCTTTACAAAGGAAAATAATTTGTTCGCTTACATTTGGGCCTTGAGTGAGTAAGATGAGCTTCATAAAAAGTCAAAGCATGACATTGTAATACCTTAATTGAGAGCAAGTTATATGATCTCAGCAGTGGGAAGGCTAACACAGGAGGATCACCACAGGTTCCAGGCCAGCCTGAGCTGCAAAAAGAGATGCCATCACAAGGAGTGAAATGGAACTGTATGAGGCTTGGTCTTGGGGTGTTGTCTTTGGCATTGTGTGAATTTGTCCAAAAGCTTCTGTTCCATATACAAAACAAAAATTCTACTATTCAGCTTACGAGCAGGTCTGAAGAAAACAGTTCACACACAGATCCTGTCAAGTTCCTAGTCACTATTGCACAGCAAAGGACAGGTAGAAAGTGCAGAGTGATGTGTAGTTCTCTTGATAGTTAAGACCCTGGCATGCCTCACACTTAACATCTTAGGTAGTATTCGCAGTTGTAGAGGGCATACAAATTTGTCCAGAATTGACCTTTTATCCGGTGGTGATTTGTGGAAAGGCTGACTGAATCATAGGAACATGGTTCTCAGAAAGTCAAGGTGTTGCCCTTGCCTGTCAAGAACCCTCAGAAGCTAATGTCCTTTGGAGCAGGAGATACAACCAGGTAGAAAGGCCTGTTCTGAGTGCTTGCATTTTTCAAAATATAAGTGATCAAAAATAAAAAGTGATTTGTTTATCTCTTTCTGTACATACTGAGAATTTACATAGTAAAATGTTTTAAAATATAAGTACATAGCCACATATTATAAGAGCCAGTGACCTGCCTGCCCTCACTGGGTCCAGTACCTCCCTGGCTGTGGTCTAGCTAGCCACAGCTGGGTCGTGTTATGGTTCCTAGTTAATTAAGAGTGGAATCACCCACCATGTGTGAGATGCTTTTTCTGTCTTGCTAGAGTGAACCAGGTAACAGCTTAATGAAGTTTTTTTTTGTTTGTTTGTTTGTTTCCTGTTTGTGTGTTTCTGAGGGATGTTCTTTAGTAGGTGCCTTTTCTTTTGATGTTGGTGGTTTTGTGGTCAGCATAACATGGGCCTCCTATGTCAACCTCTAAATCCCCCCCCCTTTTTTTTTTCTGAAAGAGACTGAACTAGATAACATTTTTACCTTAGTACTGTGGTAGAATTCCCCTGGGAGGGGATTGGAGTCTTGCGTGTTTCTTTGTGAGAAACATTTGTTCATTAATGCTGTGTCTTTGCTCCTCAGAGCTCTAGTCAATTGCTCCTTGAGTCAGTCTGGGTATGTGTGTGTTTTGTAGGATTGGCCCATTTCATGTAAGTTGACTGATACGATGGCATAATGTTCATAACATTCTTTTCACTGCTTTGGGGTATGTTGTTAAGGTTCCTCTTTGTTTTCCAATATGAACATGTATCCTCTGTCCATTTTTCTTGGTTCAGATGGTTGAAGGAGTGTGATGTTTCTTGTTCTCAGGACAGCCTGTGGGATGGATGGAGAAGTGGCTTCTCTGTATCTGTTCTTCATTGTGATTTTCCTTGTCTCTTTTCTCTGTTGGAAGTGGGGCTGGTTCCTCTTAAAAGATCTCATCTTGTTCTTAGGTCTTTCCCCTTCCCTTTTGGAATAACTGTAGTGTTTGAATCCCTAAATTTTGTTGTGTTATACATTTGCTTTAGTTCACTTTAAATGTTTTCTCTTCCTTCCTTTTTTAAAAATAATCATCATTTCTTAGCATGACTTTCTTAGTGCTGGACTGGTACTGCTTAGCTTAGCACAGGCCTTCAGGTCATTTCTCTTCCTTCCCACCCCTCCCCCTACTCCCCAAGCCTCCAGATACCCTGAGGCTGGGAAATTTCAGAGCATGGTACCAGGATCCCAATTGTGGTGAGGGCTTCGTGGAGGAAAGTCTATGGCTCTTTCAGTCATCAAACAGGACCATAGCCCCAGAAGCTTGTGGGTTCCGTGGGTTGATCCAGCTCTGTACTGGGGCAATTGGGGAAAGGCAGCAGTACATACACAGTCAGTTCTGGCAAGCAGCACTGTTACCTCTTCTTTCACTGTATTGATTCTACTTCCTCAGAATGGTTGTTCAGCAAGTCTGAAGTTTTGGAGAGACCAGACTTGCCAGTTTCTCCATGCTGCAGAGGGCCAAAGCTCTGCCCCCTAGTAACAGTTTTAAGCTTATCTTTTCTTGGATCATGAATTATATTGGTTGCTTTCCTTGAAGGCCCTTTTCTTCCATTAAGGGGTCTCTAAAAGATAATTTAGGAAGTTTTCTTCATCTTTTTTCTATGGCTATAACAAAATACCAAAAGCTGGATATAAACAAGAGGTTAATTTGATTCTTGATTCTTCAGGCTGGGAAATTTCAGAGCGTGGTATCAGGATCTCAGTTGTGGTGAGGACTTCATGGAGGAAAGTCAGACAATTGCTTGCAGAAGGAGTAGTGGCCAGGTGCCTTTTGGCAGCTTTTGGCACAATTAACCCATTTTCACAGAACCATATTAATCATGGTTAATTAATTAATCCTAATTCACGGGGGTAGAGCCCTGGTGACCAAAACACCTAAAGGCCTCATGGCCTCTCATATCACTGCAGTGATGGTTAAACTTCAGCATGACTTTGGTGAGGATAAACTGTAATCCACCTACAGTAGGATGAGAGTGGGAGGTGGGACATGCACTTCTTTTGAAATTGTTTGCTAAGCCACCACCCACCGCCCCCATTGTTGTGTAGCCTGTGTGGGAAGGTTACTACATGGTATATGCCTCTTCACATCAAGAGGAGTACAAGTACACCTGCCACTTCTCAAGGCCTAGCATAGCATTCATTTCTACTAAAATTGCATAATAATTCTTGTCATCTGTTTTTTTTTTTTCTGTTCCACCCAGCAGTCATTCTTGGAAACACTGTCCTGAAAACTGCAGGTTGCCCTTAGGCCTACCCATAGACCACCATTATGCTGTTGCTTGGTAGATTCAGGTGCCAGCTTGATGTGGGCATCCCTCATGGTCTACCTCATGGTCCTTGTGGTCAGGAGCTATTGAGATTGAGAACAATAGGATCAGAAAGCAGATTGTGGATGTTTCCAAAGTTCTTAACGGAGAACATGTGCTACTTCTCTGGCATTCACTGTCTGTGAAATCTGCTGGTGACACAGATCCTCAGGTGGGGGTCCTCCTGCAGCTGGCCCTGGAGCCAGGCAGCTTTCCCATTTATGGTGGGTTTGAGCAGCAACTACAAAGTTAGTGCCATTGGTTGTACACAGTCAGTTTTCAATAATACTGTTCTTGGCAATAAAATGAAGTAATTTTACAGTATAGCAAGTACATATTAAGTAGTATTTGTGTTCATTGTAGCCCTTTTAAATGGATATATCCATTAAAAGAAAACAATGTTTTAAATTTCAGAAATACTGTATTTGAAAACTTAACAATTGCCCAGTGAGAAGTTTACTCACTGGCTCTAGGGAAGAGGCAAATTTAGTATTATTTATGTCTGAAAGATTCTGCTTTGAGGTGAGCATTGGACATGGGTACCAGTGCCTAGCCAGAATATGGGCAGACACTGATCCCCCTGTTTGCCTTGTTGATTTCAGCAGGGAGGAGAGAGCGATGGCTTTTCTCACACAGAGGGCCAGCCCCAGCGGCTTCCCCAGCCTCCAGACATGAGACAGCAGCCTACCCGCAAGGTGACGCTGACCAAGGGGGTTCCTCAGCAGCCCCAGCACCTTTCTGTGGGGCCGCACATGTACCCGGCTATTCCTCCAGGGATCAAAAGCATCCAAGGGATTCACCCGGCCAAGAAGGTACTGAAGTGGAAGGGCCCTGGCCCCTATAGGTTTCCTGGCTCACTGGTTGAGAAAAGTTGGCATTAGATGTTTTTTCTGGCGTTTGCCAATAGTCACATTAGTAAATCAGACATTGTTTACTTAGCCCTGTTTAGAAGGCCTTTTACTCAGTGGTACTATTGTAGAGTGTGGCTGTCCTGCACCTCTGAAGGGCTACTGCATGGTACAGACAGGACTGGGCACCTCTGTGTTCCTCTCACCCACTTAGACCAGGGATGTTCCTAATGCAGAACCAGAGGTGTGCTCTTCCTATCTGACCTCCTCAGATCAAGGAATAGAGACAAAGCCCTGTAGAGGTGAAGGGCATCTCCTCTGAGGCCAGCCAGCCACATGGGAGGCCTGGAGCCCACAGGCTCCCTGTCCCTTCTCAAGGAGGTTAGTCTAGTCATGTTGAAGGCAGAGAAGTAACAGTATTGTCCCTCGGCTTCTAGGGGAAAGGCAGCCTTCTAATTTTCAGACGTGGTGAACTCAAAGTCCTCCCTGCAACAACACATGTCTGAGATTCAGGTGAAGCCAGGCAGAGGGAGAGACTGGTGCTGGTCTGCCCTCTTGAGATATGAGGTGCAGCAGGTGGATGTGTGCACATTAGTGATAAGTCCAGGTATAAAATGGTGGATCTCACAGACTGTTCCTGGCTGCATTTTCTTTTAGACCTAACCACCTGACTGTCTGAAGAATATGACTTTAGAAAATTAAATGTGGGTGTCTTAGAGAGGCTTCACCCTTCTCTTCATTAGCTCTCCTTTAAGAGACAATGATGTTTCTCATTTGTTGGAGCTATTGTGAAGCTTTTTTATAAGAATTTATGTCAAAACCTAGTATCTAGCTGAAATCCATACTGGAGTGTTAATAATGTGACTAAGAGGGTGACCTCACCCTTGAAGAAGATTCTATGGCTCACAGCATGTCCTGAGAGACCCTCAGCACATATACATGCTTACTTGTGTACCTTACTAGCCAGTATGGGAAGAATCCACTCAGATATCAGAATCTTCTTTGTCATTGCCAGGCCATCATGCATGGACGAGGCCGAGGAGTGGCAGGTCCCATGGGCCGGGCTCGCCTAATGCCAAATAAGCAGAACCTTCGAGTGGTGGAGTGCAAGCCACAGCCCTGTGTGGTATCTGTGGAAGGGCTATCCTCATCCACTACTGATGTCCAGCTGAAGAGCCTGCTGATGTCCGTGGGCCCCATCCAGGTGGGTTGCCTTCTTGTGGTGATGATGCCAGTAGGTCATCTCTCCAGATAGAGCTGTCTTGTGGTACTGAACAGTGAACATTGTGGGTTACATTGTATTAAGATGGTACTTGAGAAGAAAGATGCTACTGCTTGCCTCAGACTGAGCTCAGATTGCTATTTTCAAAGTTTAAAAAGTAAATACTCTAGTAGAATAAATTATCCTTTCAAGTATGTCCTGAAGTTCGTATGTGTACACATACCTATATATATATATATATTTTTTTTTTTTATTAAATCACATTTTATTTGTGATCCCTCAAATTTTCAAGTAGATAGCCTCCTTGTTTTATTTTCTGCAACACACAACTCTGGTACTCATTTTAGCATCTGGAGTACCGATAGTGCAGTAACTTGCATTTTGTTGTCATGGCCTTTAAAATGGCAGTCTGATCCTTAAGGTCTGAGCTTGTTACCAGTGATGTGAAGGATGAGAGACAGACACCATTCTGTGTCTGCTATGAGCAAGTTTGCTCGGTATTCTAACCATGCAGGAGGTCTTCAGAGTTGTGCATGGCCAGTGAAAAATGCAGGTTAAACGAGAATGTTACTTTTCTGAGCAGAACAAAGGGCTTTCTTTTCTTTTAGTGCTTGGCCAAGATGTTTCAGATCTTCATTTACAGCTGGGTGTGGTGGCTCACACCCTTAATTCGAAGCATTTGGGAGGCAGAGGCAGGGGGTTCTCTGTAATTAAGGCCAGCCTAGTCTACAAAGTAGGTTCTGGGCCAGCCAGGGTGTGTGTGTGTGTGTGTGTGTGTGTGTGTGTGTGTGTGTGTGTGTG